CTGATTTAATTTTCAATACAATCAAAAACTGAGACGCAAGATGGCAAGCTGCATTTGAATGAAACGAGAGAGCGCATCCGCGCCTCTGCGGTGATACAAGAGACATGGGGCGACTTCCAAACAGAAGTGAGCATCCCTATGCCCTACTCCCTTCGAAGGGCAGAGCCCTTGAAGTGTGTTCTTTGAAGGGTGCAGGGTATTACTGTCTCGTATAAGCGTTTGAAACTCTCTTGGCAAAGGGAATGACTGACCAAATGTTACCTTGACAACGCTGCGCGTGCGTGCAGCATTCAGTACTCCATCAGTTGTTGCAAATAAATATGTATTATTATTATTATTATTTTATTCAAATATTGTCTAATTGTGTCTTATTTCTACATAAAAAATGCAAAAAAAAATTTTTTTTGTAGGTATTGGGACATTACATGCATGTACTGAATTTTGTACACGTACGGGGGCGCTTCATTGAAATTTTATAGGTGGCGCTATCGAGCCATTTTGCCACACACAATTCTGAAACTCATATCAGATGTAAATTTTCGCCAGTTCTGATGCATGTGCAAAGTTTCGTCAGTTTTGGAGCATGTTTAGGCCCTCAAAAATATGATTCAATTTGGAGAAGAATAAACAGAGCAATTCCAGGAGGGCCCTCACACCATTGGTGCTCAGGCACTAATTACATTCATTTTAAAGAATTTAAAATAAAAGATAAAACTGTCCCTATTTAATAAACATCACTAGTCTTATGTATCATATCAAAAACGGACCAAAAATATATATATTATTATACCGGTATATATTAAATATTTCTTTATAAAACGGATAGTTCCGGTCCTTGATTCTGATTGGTTGAGCCACGTTCGAAGCTGTTGTAAATTAATCTACAAACATACACCTTTGTTTACTTTGTGTGTTGCTTGGCAATCACTTTGTTGCAACCACAACTGTTTCTGAAGAACTACAATGTTTGGTGGAAGAATACCGTTTTTATTAATATCATTACACTTTATTTGCTCGGTTTTATTTTGTGAAACCTATCTACGTATATGGAATAAGCGTTTTATAAAAGCAATAAGCCCCGTGAAGCCGTGGTTTACAGTGGATTTATAACCGCTTCACTTCGCATCGTGCCTAACAACGCACCTTAGCTGTTATAAATTCACTGTAAACCATGGCTTCTTGGGGCTTATTGCTTTATAGAGAGAGAGAGAGAGAGAGAGAGAGAGAGAGAGAGAGAGAGAGAGAAAATATCAGTCAATACTATTCTAGCCTAATAAGTTTTATCCGATAAAATCTAAATGGATAAAATCAAGCCCCACCTATTACTTTCTAATGAATATTCTGTTTCACTCAGAAACTTGTAATACAAAATTCAAGTGTGTGTGAATGGTAATTCATGTTTTTAAAGAAGCAAATGTACACTTCACTACAAGGTGCCTGAAACTGAATATTGAAAAGAGATGAATTCTAGAACAAACTTTTGAAATATAATGCACGATCACTTGGGATAAACTGACTTTATTCTAGCTCTTTATGATAACAGACACCAGGCGGATGTCTCCGGAAACAAATTTCAGGTTCAGTGAGCTGATTGTGGGTGGCCATTGTGGACTGCAAACAAACTGGAAGACAGCTGCCTAGAAACCCTCCCAACACAAAGGCTCCAAAAAGTAAGCAGCAGAATTATGCTGCCTAATAAGTTGCTAAAAAAAACGTATTTTGTCCAAATCACATTTGATGTTATGAGGTTCCATTTCAGTTAGGATGCATCCGTAGAGGGTAGCTGTATATTTAGGTAGTAGACAGCAAGCCACAAACAAAACTTTCAATGAATAATGAATTTTTCAGTTGAATACTTAAATGTTCAAGTCGGCATGATATGAAAATTCACCCACTCTATTTTGTAAATGCATTTCATATATCTTATTGTGAACAATTCATCCTTCTCGCTTTATTTTTTTCTGAATTCTGTTACGATTTAATACAAATTTATCATCAAAAATTTAGTCTAATGAAATTAATAAGGTAAAAACTAAGGTAATTTACAACAAAACATTGACAAAAAATGCAAATAAGATACCACACAAAACTGTATAAATTAAACATGGATGAAAAAAAATTCTTGGTTGTATGATATTTCTTAGAAAAAAATAACATTATTACCTTGAGAAGTACATTTAGTATACAATAGTAAATTATTTCTGTCATACTTTCTTCAAGTAAAACCGAACATTTATTTTGGCGGTTTGTCATGAAAATCTTTCAGTTTCAGTCTGTGTTCGACAGTGGTCTTTCTCAAATGAAATAAAGAAAAGCTTGTGAAGTGACTAAGAACATCTCTGGAGATGAAGTTCATGTGAACTCCTATATTGAGACAGCAGATGCAGAAAACACCGTAAGCCTCAAGTGCGAGTTTGTGTAGTATTCGAAACCACACCTTTCATTCTCAGAGACAGGCAGAACAAGCAGACTTAATGTTAGACGACATGCACTGACAAGCTATTGTCGCCTTTACTTCTGCTGTGTGACAGGCTGTTAGATTAATCCATATTGAGTAAACAGGGTTTATCATCGTCATCAACATAAATTTCATTGTGATCTCGATATGATATTGTTTATTGCCCTGCCCTATCTCATCCTACATTTCAGCTCAAAGCATTGTGGGTAAAGTAGTCTTTGACAGCTACTCACGTGCATGTTTATCAGCAAGGGCAATGAGTGTTGTAGAGATGTCTCTGCGTCGGTAGAAACACACCACTTTGGCCTCCACGTTCCCATTCGCCGTCTGCAAACGGAAACAGAGTTGTCACAGCAACAGCTTCTAGACCAATCAGCTCCTGGGGAAGCCTCAATATGCAAACTGAGGATCAAATCATAACCATGACCTAAACACCTCTGCACTTCCTGGCTGATTTGAGAGGGTCTCGTGATGGATAGAAGATGAGGAGGGCAGACAGGGGGGGTGCAGTGTGATGTTAGAGGATGCTAAAGGCTTAAAAGTGTGAACACTGTAAGAAAAAAGATAGAAAGCTGTAGCTTTGAGATTTTTCAGTCATTCAGGTGTGGGGTTTTGTCAAACGCTCACTGCAATACTGAAGCTTGTCACCCTTTGCATATTTAAAGGTATCACAAAAGGTGAAATTTTAAAGAACATTCTGGCCACTATTTTCAATAAAATAAAAGTAAACGAGGACTTGGGCTCTCGAGTTTCAAAAAAGACAAAGACCACCATAAAAGAATGATAAAAATGAGTTGAACTAACGAACTGAATCAGCTCAATTAGTGAACGAATCAATCAGACCAAGAGTTTAGAGTTAGGCCTATGATTTAGCCTGGTTTAAAAGATCTGGCTTGTCTAAAGATTATCGACTCAAAAGAATGATGTGCTCCTGAATCGGAAATTGCTACTTCTCTCATAAATACACAGAGAAGAGCTGGAGCAGATTTTGGTCTGTTCCTCACATAAATCCATCCTATGACTTCGTGTTATTTTACTATCATTTATATATACACACTATTACAGTATTTATTAGCATTTTGAATATTTTTCATTTTAATTTAAGTTTAATCAATTTTATCGTGTTTTTGTCATTTTTATTTGAAATATTTACATTTATCTTTAATTTTCAGTTTAATTGTTATCAAAACAACATCTAGTTTTCATTTAAGTTTTTAAAATTTAAGTTCAAGTTATTTATAATCATTTAATATTTATTTTCTTTTATTTCTCCTTTAAATTAATGAAAACAATAGTTTAGTTTTAGTTAACAAAAACAACACAAATGGCTTCAAAATATTTAGAATATAGCACACAAGCCGTACGTACATTTCAGCTCAAAGCATTGTGGGTAAAGTAGTCTTTGACAGCTACTCACTTGCATGTTTATCAGCGAGGGTGATGAGCGTTGTAGAGATGTCTCTGCGTCGGTAGAAACACACCACTTTGGCCTCCACGTTCCCATTCGCCGTCTGCAAACGGAAACAGAGTTGTCACAGCAACAGCTTCTAGACCAATCAGCTCCTGGGGAAGCCTCAATATGCAAACTGAGGATCAAATCATAACCATGACCTAAACACCTCTGCACTTCCTGGCTGATTTGAGAGGGTCTCGTGATGGATAGAAGATGAGGAGGGCAGACAGGGGGGGTGCAGTGTGATGTTAGAGGATGCTAAAGGCTTAAAAGTGTGAACACTGTAAGAAAAAAGATAGAAAGCTGTAGCTTTGAGATTTTTCAGTCATTCAGGTGTGGGGTTTTGTCAAACGCTCACTGCAATACTGAAGCTTGTCACCCTTTGCATATTTAAAGGTATCACAAAAGGTGAAATTTTAAAGAACATTCTGGCCACTATTTTCAATAAAATAAAAGTAAACGAGGACTTGGGCTCTCGAGTTTCAAAAAAGACAAAAACCACCATAAAAGAATGATAAAAATGAGTTGAACTAACGAACTGAATCAGCTCAATTAGTGAACGAATCAATCAGACCAAGAGTTTAGAGTTAGGCCTATGATTTAGCCTGGTTTAAAAGATCTGGCTTGTCTAAAGATTATCGACTCAAAAGAATGATGTGCTCCTGAATCGGAAATTGCTACTTCTCTCATAAATACACAGAGAAGAGCTGGAGCAGATTTTGGTCTGTTCCTCACATAAATCCATCCTATTACTTCGTGTTATTTTACTATCATTTATATATACACACTATTACAGTATTTATTAGCATTTTGAATATTTTTCATTTTAATTTAAGTTTAATCAATTTTGTCGTGTTTTTGTCATTTTTATTTGAAATATTTACATTTATCTTTAATTTTCAGTTTAATTGTTATCAAAACAACATCTAGTTTTCATTTAAGTTTTTAAAATTTAAGTTCAAGTTATTTATAATCATTTAATATTTATTTTCTTTTATTTCTCCTTTAAATTAATGAAAACAATAGTTTAGTTTTAGTTAACAAAAACAACACAAATGGCTTCAAAATATTTAGAATATAGCACACAAGCCGTACGGACCACTTCTATGAAAACGTATTTTCTTTTTCTACTAATTTTGGAGCCTGAAAAAAGCCCCAGTCTTTGTTCTCTTTCATTACAAACATTTTTCCACTCTCTTGCAATTGCATTGCCATTTGCGCATATTTCCTCACAAGAATGTATACTAAAAGAATACTGCGACTTGGCTACAATCCAGGCTTAAAGCACTAAAGGTTGACCAGCTTCAGCCTTGTAGTGTTTGACTGGCTTTTAGCAACACACACACTCGTTCATCACTCACCTTGTTGAGTTCCTCTATTCGCCTGATCAGCAGTGGGTTACTGGAGGAGTTTTCGAAGTAAACATAATCTGTGAGGAGAAAAAGAAACAACCATTAGTGTTCACACACCTACAGTCTGTCAGCGACAGGCAGCATCTCCTGTCACGCTCCCACACCTGCTGAGGCTTACCAGATTGTTTCAGAGACTAAACGAAGCATTCTCCGCCGGGATACATGGCTGGAGCGCCGCTGCCTTTTGGCGAGTTCCCCAACAACAACACTTGAAAACAACTGCGTTGACACTGAAAAGCTATGGCGTTTGTAACTCAACCTCATAGATAACCTTCAGCATCCACTTTTGACTGGCACCAAACGACATGCCACTATCAGGACAATCACGGGTAAAACACAACATTAAACCCAAACAAGACAGACATGACACTTTTTTTGTCTTGATGGTTAAAAAAATGTATTGAAAAATAAGAATGCAATTCAAATACACAATTTGAATAAAGCTCTTCTATCATGAGCATGCAGACTACTTAACTTTGGAATTCAATTCATTTTGAGTTTCAAAATGAAACTCAAAAAACTCATTAGCAAAAGTGTCTGGGTGATACAATCATCCTGATGTAATAATGAAAGAAAGAAAGAAATGAAATTCTTGAAAAGAAAGCCGAAGTATTGTTTGAAAAACATTGTCTACCAAATCAAGGTCATGTGTTGCGACCAATAAAATCACCAACATGCAGAAAGAAAGAGAGAAAAAAACAACCTTCAGCATCCACTTTTGACTGGCACCAAACGACATGCCACTATCAGGACAATCACGGGCAAAACACAACATTAAACCCAAACAAGACAGACATGACACTTTTTTTTGTCTTGATGGTTAAAAAATGTATTGAAAAATAAGAATGCAATTCAAATAAAGCTCTTCTATCATGAGCATGCAGACTACTTAACTTTGGAATTCAATTAATTTTGAGTTTCAAAATGAAACTCAAACTCATTAGCAAAAGTGTCTGGGTGATATAATCATCCTGATGTAATAATGAAAGAAAGAAAGAAATGAAATTCTTGAAAAGAAAGCCGAAGTATTGTTTGAAAAACATTGTCTACCAAATCAAGGTCATGTGTTGCGACCAATAAAATCACCAACATGCAGAAAGAAAGAGAGAAAAAAAACAACAGGAAATTGTCAGAGACCACCCCTGCAGAACGTCATGAGTGTGTTTCAAGGTCAAAAAGGCTCTTGTAATTTCAGATAATTTGACATATATATATATATATATATAAAATGTATGTATGAAGATGTGCACACTCACATGTATTCAAGGCATGAGGACAACATGATATCTTTAAAGTCATTCAATTCAAACTTTATAAAATTTCTAAGAACATAGATTTTTAAAAGCTTCTTTTATCATAGAGCCACTTTAGCCATTGACCCTCCTACCAATTCTCTCAGATCTTTCTTTCTTGTGTCAACCCTCCTTTCCCGATGTATTTGTGTGTGTTTGTGTTCTGTGTGCGTGTGTGCTGTTGGCCATGCTCCAGGGCGTGTGGGCTCTGTGCAGGCGTACGGCTCTGTGGGACGTCCCCCACAGGCCTCAAGCTTGGTGGGGTGCCTGGTCTTAACCCTGTGCGTGCCAGGACCTCTGACAGATTACACCCCGCGTACAGCAGACGGTATACACATACACACACGCTACCACAGTAATCCCATGATTTGGTGGTGGGGGGCAGGGGGACCAGAACATCAAGTCTGGCAAAAACACGCTTGCAAACTCAGTGTTTGGTAGCACATCCATGTGAGCCAACAGTTCCTGTTTCAGAGGGAAGTATGTTTACTAATACATCAAAATGGATGATTTTCCTGAGAATTTAAAGGGCAATAAAACAAGTGGGACTAAACTCCAGAAGAATTACAAACTTTGGTTTTGAAATACAGCACCATCCTACAACCCTTTTTTCTGCCACTTTTGATGAGAATAAAAAGATCGCATAAGAATTATGTAATGATAGAGAGGGCATGAGACATGCCAGAGAGAAAACCTGTATGCTTTTCTTTCTTCTGCTGAACACAAAACAAGATCTTATCAAATAAATGTTGTCAACCAAACAGTTTTGGTTCTCAGAGACTTCCATTATATTTTAATGTCTATACAACGTAAGTCAATGGGAAACGAAACAGTTTCATTACCAGCATTTTTCAATATAACAAGTGTTCAGCAGAAGAAAGAAATGCAAACAGGTTTGGAACAACATGAGGACGAGTAAATGATGACAGAATTGCCATTTTTGGGTGAACTATCCACTTTAAACAGATGTAGTGTCTCAAAATATCATTAAAAGTTTTACAAATGTGATATTCTCTATATATGAAAGAGATTATAATACTACATAATATGACTTAAAGGTAATATAATCAGTCAATTAATACAATTCAATTAGAATATATTTGACATTTAATGATGTGTTACATGGAGCAGGACGAAACTTAGATTTACATGTAACAGATAGCTTTTATCACCTGTCACTTTATACCGTCAGGCCTGGAGCGAACACAGTGCTGGCCCTGATCAAATAAGCTCAGTCTACGGCACCACTGGCTGTAAAGGGACAGGAAGTGACTTTGGAACGTTCTCTACACAGTCTCGATGATCTAATGTTGTCTTGGAAAGTCTGGGAGGCAGTGTTCTAGGGCTGTCAAAATGGCTGAAAAACTAAATTCGAATTTTGTACTTAAATATTATTTGAATTATATTCTAATTTTAAATGCATAATTTCAGTTAGGGTGAAGAAAAGCTTTTGGCTTCCCTTCTGAGGCCACAATCGGGCGCATTGAGCAAAATATTAGAGCCCTGCACGGGCCTCAAACGTAGGCCCTAGCCCGGCCCTGGCCCGAGACGCTCAGGCCCTAGCCCGGCCCGTGTCCGACAAGCTTATCAGAATTACCGGCCCAAGCGTGTCTTTTTTCCCCTTCTCCCAAACAGCTTCTACTACTGTTTCGGCTATTAAAATAGTTTAGTTTTGTATGTAATAGCAAAGTGATTATGTTTCGTTTCTTTATGAAGTTAATTTAAAAACATTTGGAGCATTTTTTGTTCGTTAAATATAAGTTTTTGTTTTTTTAAAGTAACGACCAAGCGGCCAGCGGCAGACAGTGAGCCTATGTTTGATCAATTTAGCCTTATCAAATCATCACGACTTGCCTAAAATAAAATCTATAGATATAAAACAGTTCAAGCATATAACAATGTTTAAACGTTAAACCTAGATAAATGTGCGCTATATCCAATAGTTTGTGCGGAGAGCGGAAGCTAAAGCACGCTTTGCAGGACATAGAGGCGCCAGCGCGATCACTTACATTTTTTTCAGTCTACTTTTATTTGTGTGCACTCACAATATCAACAAAATGTTGTGCTTTCATAAAATAAAGATAACAAACATGAATAAATGTATCTATAGAAAGCTTTAAATTACTACTTAACGAAATAAAACAAATCAAAAACAAAAACTTTCATTATAATCCGTAAAGATGCACTTCTCTCTAAAAGGCGCATCTGAGGAGATGGCGAGTCAGGATCGGCAACTCCTTACGACACCGACTCAGAAAACACTAGTTTATTAGTAAATAACTTCACTATCTCCTTACTATTTCCCCCTGTCACATTTATAGTAATTACTTTTGCCGGTGCTTTGCGGCAGGCTTAAGCCTATTGCTTGCATTTGAACGCAGAACTGTTCAGCTGCGCTGACAGCACGCACCATACATACTGCTGCTGCGGGACACTAAACACCGTCAAGCAGCTCTTGACAGTAGCGGTAGCACGGTCTTGTGTCGTTTCCACCAGCGAGGCCATTTTTTTCATCACTAGCCTAGTTGATGGATGTCTAAAATATAAAAATAAGGAGAAGCCTAAAACAGGCCCGAGGCCCGGCCCGCGTCTGAACTATGACGTGAAAATTGGCCTGAAGCCCGGCCCGAGGGGTGTAAAAAAGTCGGGGCCCACCGGGCCCGGGCTGAAATGCAGGGCTCTACAAAATATTCAATTTATAAACCAATTATAATTAATTAAATTGCTTAAACAACTATAACAAAACAGCATCATGTATGTATGCATAGTTTAATAAACAGGGCGGAAAGCCAATCACACGGAGTACATTTTTCAATTAAAAACCTGAGATGCAGTGGGATGGGGAAAAAACCCACCATAAAGTCTCAATATATGGTTTTTTTCAAAGTTAATCTTGCATTAACTAGGGGAAGTTGTGGCCTAATGGTTAGAGAGTCGCACTCGTAACCCAAGGTTGCGGGTACGAGTCTCATACAGGCAGGGATTGTAGGTGGGGGGAGTGAATGTACAGCGCTCTCTTCCACCTTCAATACCACGACTGAGGTGCCCTTGAGCAAGGCACCGAACCCCCAACTGCTCCCCGGGCGCCGCAGCAAAAAATGGCTGCCCACTGCTCCGGGTGTGTGTTCACGGCGTGCGTGTTCTCTGCTGTGTGTGTGCACTTTGGATGGGATAAATGCAGAGCACTAATTCCGAGTATGGGTCACCATATTTGGTCACATGTCATGTCACTTTCACTTTAATTTTACATGGTTTTAAACACACGGCTCCTTTGTGCGAGACGCGAGTGCATCGGTGATAGATGTCCCTCTAGAAAATGCGCGAAATATGTGTTCTGTGTGAACAGCTTGGTTTCGGTTTTGATGTAAACAAGATCTTCTCCGCATTGATGTTCTCCTTTTCCACAATATTTTTAATGAACAACGCAGCAGTGCCGCATCTAGTGGCTTCAACTGGATAGGCTAACAAAAACATTATAATGCAACGACACTTACATCATCATCGCATATCATGCGTAAACTGATAAGGCTGCCTGACACACATCTAAAATTTGTAGAATGTGGATTTTTACTTTAAAAATTCAACAAATATTCGAAATTCTATTTTTTTTTTTTGACAGCCCTAGTATGTTCTTGTTTGTTGTTTTTTATTATACCAAAAAGTGTAGGCTGGCTGTTCTGCAAACATGTGATCTGTAGCACATTGTAGAAGTAGATCCAATATTT